TGTGGAAAACTGCCTTTTGACCTAGCTACTATCCCACTTATGGGAATATATCCTAAGAATCTTTAAACACTAATTCAAAAGAATATATGCACCCCTATGTTCACTGCAGCATTACTTACAATAACCAAGATTTGAGAGCAGCCCAAGTGCCCATCAGTAGATGAGTGGATTAAAAAAAAAAAGCTGTGCTACGTTTATATAATGGAACACTACTAGGCTGTCAAAAAGGAAATCTTATCTTTTGCAACAGCATGGATGGACCTGGAGAGTATTATGTTAAGTAAAATAAGCAACTCACAGAAAGATAAATACAAATATTATTTCAGTTATATGTGCAATCTAATGAACAAAATAAACTATCAAACAAAATGGAAAAAGACAGATACAGAGAACAGGCTGACAGTTGTCAGATGCAAAAGGTGTTGTGGGGGCTGGTTAAATAGTGAAGGGATTAAGCAAAAGACAACAAAAAAGAACATTTCTCAGTGGTATATCAAAGCTCAATAGCATCAAGAAAAGGTGTGTTTCATAAAAGCCAGTAAGTAACAAAGATCTGATACCATTATTAAACTTCTCTTTCTGCTAAACTCAGGCCACATTAAATATTTACCAATTTGGTTTAAAAAGCACTTCTTTTTTTATGATGATGAAAAACACATTACATACAATTCTCCATCTTTTTTTTCCATTATAGTTCACATTCAATATTATTCTGTATTGGTTTCAGGTGCACAACATTGTGGTTACACAATCATATGCTTTACAGAGTGGTCCCCCTAATATTTCAAGTACCCCTCCTGGCTCGTACATAGCTATTACAATATTATTATTTTTTTCCTCCATTGACTTCTTTCCAGCCACTCCCACCCCCCAGCACAAGCCCTCACTCCCCTAGTGACTGTGTCCATTGATAATGCTTATATGCATGCATACAAGTCCATTGGTTGATCTCTTACCCCGCCCCCTCCTCCCCCTCTGCCCCCCCCCCACACACACACACACACACACTGCCTTCCCTCTGAGGTTTAACAGTCAGTTCGATGCTTCTCTGTCTCTGGATCTATTTTTGTTCATCGGTTCATGTTGTTCACTTTATTCCACAAATGAGTGAGATCATGTGGTATTTATCTTTCTCTGATTGGCTTATTTTGCTTAGCATAATGACTCAATTCTTTCTGGTTGGAAGAGGTAAAGATCTTACTTCAGTGAAGTGTGAGGTGTGTCTCATACGAAAGTGTCCATGCATGGTGACAGCCAATGACAACAGACTTGGTAGTTATTAAACACAATTTCTGGAGTGACTTTCCAAGGATACATGTGCTTAATACATGCACCATAAGCTTTATATTCTTGCCATTTTAGTTCCAAATAGAGTTTCAGTTTTTCTTTCATACAGCAAACCCTATCCCTGAACTTCTTTGAAAAGTCAGACTATTAGCTGTTACTTAGCTTTGTTATTTAGGATTGTTTTATTATTACCATGAGGAATTTGTCATTCTACTAACTGATTTAATAATTAATTAATTTGTGAAAAGGTGTCCATACATAATTTCTCCCACACGCATGGCCACAAACACAGACACAGAGCCTGCCTCATGCTTAGAATATAATAAGCAATAATTCCAGGCCTGTGAAACTTGTGTTGGAAACAGGCAGATGTCAGATTACTGGATGAGAAAGTGACAGGTGGTTAAATGCCTTCCTATTTAAGTGAAGCAGTCACATTAGAATGGAATTTCTACTCAGTGAACTGGAAGGGTAGGACAGGGGCAGAGAGAGTCACATTTCTTTTACAGCCTAGGTGCTATATGAGGCTATGAAATGAAAGCCATTAATAGATATTTTTTTTCTAGTACACCCAACAACTTCTTTCTATAGTTTATTCTCTGTCACTAGGCTCCTGACTAAAGACAGCTACTAGGTTTTTATAGTGCATAAATATTTTGATCCTACTGAACGTTTTTTCCTCTCTCATATTTTCAAATTCAACTGTAAAACAGGGTGGTATTAATGAAAAATGTTGAAAAATAAAATGAAAAAAACCAAACAAGTGACCTCACAGACATTTAGGCTGAAATTGATTCCATGGGTTAGTTTGTCAACAAAATACGATAGTAGTTTTAAATTTTGGTAATATCAGTGTTGTTCCTTACCAATTCTCAGTTTAGAACTATATTGAAAAGACCTTGGCACAACTGATTAATTTTGTTTTAGATCTAAGAAATAAGGTTTGGTACTCTGTACTGTCCTTTTCATGTCTGTAAAAATACATCTGAATAGATCCAGAGACAGAGAAGCATCAAACAGACTGTCAAACTTCAGAGGAAAGGCAGGGGAGGGGGTGAGGTGTAAGAGATCAACCAAAGGACTTGTATGCATGCATATAAGCATAACCAATGGACACAGACACTAGCTGGGTGAGGGTATGTGCTGGGGGGTGGGGGTGGCCAGGGAGAGGTCAATTGGGGGAAAAGGATACATATGTAATACTGTATGTAATACTTTAAACAATAAAGAATTTTTAAAAAATACATCTGAGACTCTTAAACTATTTATAGGACTTTGAAAATGACTAAGTTTTGCCATTTGCGTTTTTCCTTTCCCTGAAGAAAAAAATTAACACACTGTATCTAGAATATCATTCTGGTTAACTGACTGTAAAATTCATATTGAGATATAATGCAAGACCCTGGGTATAAGTAAGACACAGAATAAACTTATTTGTGGCAGATGATTGGTACTGTCACCCTCTTTGACATCTTCCTTCACAAAGCCAGATTAGATGGAATAGTCAAATCAAAATTACTTGTAAAAATCACATTTTTTTCCCCTAAGTAAAAAGTCAAATGAGTTAACTGGGAAAAAAAATCTCCTGATTTAGGTTATATAAGCCAATGAACAAATTGTGGAAATGTAAGGACCAGAGAAGATACAATAGAAAATCACCTTATTGCTTTAAAATGACAGGAACAAGGCAACTACTGAAAAGAGGTAAAAATGGTCCCTACTTATAAATGGAAAAAATTCAAATGAAGTAGTTCTTTAAAAACACAGAATTTAAAAGATATCAAGAAGAAGTAAGTAAAAAGGACACATTTACACATAAAAAAGAGGGTCAAAAGTATTTAGTGTTCTTTCTCTAAAAATGAAGGTTGTTTGGGTCTATAGTTTACCTGGGTATGGTTAAGTAATCAAGGAGCCATAATGTCTCTTCTCTTCAACTTCTAACACTTAAATCAAAAGGCCACTCCTTCTTACAGAGAAAAGTAACTAATAGGCGAGCCATTAGAAATGTCTGTGTTGACAACTGAATCTGGTAATACCAGAGATGACTCTTTCACTAAGATATCTCATTTTTTTAGCTTAAGCCAGGCATACAGTATTTGGAATAGACATCTTGGGTGAGGACCTGGTTTCTGTTGACAATGGGAATTCTGAAAACGCTGACGATATATATTACATGACCCAAACTGCCAGAGGCGTACCCTACCCCAGCATGTGAAAGTGGATAAACCATGACTGATTATCCAATAAGAAAATGTATAGCAAGTGTATCAATCTCAGGAGGAAAAAAACCTGGTTTTTAAACAAGAAACACATCCTTTACCCAAGGAGTATTTAGGCCAGTGGTTCTCAACCTTCCTAATGCCGTGACCCTTTAATACAGTTCCTCATGTTGTGGTGACCCCCAACCATAAAATTATTTTTGTTGCTACTTCATAACTGTAATTTTGCTACTGTTATGAATCATAATCTAAATATCTGATATGCAGGATGTATTTACATTGTTACAAATTGAACATAATCAAAGCATAGTGATTAATCACAAAAGAATATGTAATTCTATATTGTGAAATATTTATTTCTAATTACAAGTAAATGAAATTTTGTCTTGAAGCATGGTGTAGTATGGGTAACAGTCTTAATATAACAATAATAAACTACATTGCTACATTTTGCAACTGTATGCGTAAAAAGCCAACGTCAGTGCGAAGGTTGAGATTGCTTCTTTCTCACCAGATCAGAAATCCTTGGGGCAGTCTTTGCAAGAGCACAGTGAAGATCATCTTCCACAACAAGTCTACTTCTGTATTTAGACTTGATAACCAACAATCTGGAGAATGCTGTTTCACAAAGATATGTTGTTGGAAATGGAAGAAGAAGGCACAACACAGTCTCAGACAGAACAGGATATGACTGCAAACACTTGATCCAGAATTTTGTAACTGGCATTGTAGACAAATCAGTTCTCGCTGCATCGTTGTTAATAAGTTCAATGAACTCCTCTTGTGCTGTCTCAGGAACATCTTCAACTTTGACTGTGAATGGGCTTCCGGCAAGTGCAAATGGGGTGTCAGGTAGATTTGGAAAGTACAATGAAATTTCGTCTGCAAGCATGTGCTAGTGTTCTTTCACAGAAATTATCATCGTAATCCTTTTGTCTGGTTCAATGTCATGTTCCTCAAAGAAAGCAGATAAGGTAGGCAACATGTAAAATTTATTTTCATCCATTTTTTTTTTTTTTGCCAAAGCTGAAGTTTCATTTGGAATGATTGGACCTTTTCAGACAAATCGAGGCATCTTGCATTTGGTCCTTGCAGTGATAAATTTAATTCATTCAAGATGGCAAAGATGTCAACCAAATAAGCTATTTTCTGCAGTTCTCTTTTATCGCTGAAAAGTGCTTCAAACTGAGGTCTTGCTTTCTGATTAAAAAACGTTTTGAGTTCATCACAAAGCTCAAAAATACGTTTTAAAATTTTTCGTCTCGACAACCATCTCACTTCAGTGTGAAATAGCAGAGCATTGTTCGGCGCATCTAACTTGTTGCACAGTTGCAAAAACAGTCGACTGTTTAAAGTGCTTGCCTTTAAAAAATTGACACAACTTATGACGCTTTTCATTACTTCTTGTAACTCTTGTGGCAGCGCCTTCATTGCTAATATTTGCTGATGAATCATACAGTGAGTTCCGATGACTTTTGGCGACTCATTCAGTACCAAACGTTGCAATCCAGATCGACATCTTAGCATAGCTGGAGCACCATCTGTGCCAACACCACAAGCCTTTTCCCAAGAGATCTTACACTCTTTCAGAAATGAACCAACTGTGTCAAATACATCACGTGCAGTAGTTTTCATTTCAAGAGGTTTGCAAAAAAGAAACTCATCTTTAAAGTCGCCATCATTAATATACCTCATGTAAACCAGTAACTGTGAACAGTTTGCTACATCTGTAGATTCATCAAGCTGGATACTAAATATTGGAAGTGGAGCGGATTTAATTTCCTGGATTACCTGATCAAGAATATCAGCAGACATGTCATCTATTCTTCTGCGGACAGTGTCGTTAGAGAAGGAAATTGCACTCAATTTCGTAACAAATTCATCTCCGATCATAACTCTAACAATGTCTTTGGCTGCTGGCAACAGTAAATCCTCAGCAATGGGGTGAGGTTTCATAGCTCTGGCAATTCTGAGTGCCACCAAATATGAAGCTTCAACGGCTGCTACGTTTTTTTTGTAGTACTTGCCACCAGTGTCAAGTCTGGCTTTCTTGAGTCCATCAGCTTTGCTTTTAAAATAGTTGGTATCCTTGCTGGCAAAGCTCAGATGCTTGCTATCAAAATAGCATTTTAGTTTGTTAGGCTTCATAGATTCGGCTGATAGAACTTCACAACAAATAACACATTGTGGTTTCTCAATTCCTGCTGTAATTATTGAGGTAAAACCATACTGTAAAAAATCCTCACTATATTTTCTTTTCTTAACGTTCTTCTCTACAAGATCCACTGCCACGGGATGGTTTGCTAATGAAAATAGTATATAACAATAGCTTTAATAATACAAAAGATTATACATGGCATAGTTCAGTCAATACAGTTCATTAAAGTTTCCTATGATTTACCATTCTCTGTATTGTTTTTTTACATACCTGTTATTATCACAAGGGGGCAGTATTCACATCAACCATAGCTGAATATAAAAAGACCAATTAGCATCCAGATTAAGTTACCATGGTACAGACATTTTTTTTTTTGCAGTAGTTGATGATTTTATAGTACGTGATTTTACATTTACCCAGTAATTATAATTCATGAAGTGCTGTTTTACCTCTAATACTGCTGCTTTCAACACAGCAGCTGCTTTCTACACAGTAGCTGCTCTCTACACATGTGTGACTGGTCTGCATAAGTACATTATGGTGCCAACCCTGTCACATACACCTGTATTTGTACAGGGTGTATGTGATGGGGTTGGCGCAATGATGTCATCACACCGGGTACTCGTATGTGGGCGTATCTGCATGTGGGCAGACCCGCCTGGAGACGGATAGAGGAGCGGTGTCTCGGTTCCTAAGACCATCGAAAATATGTGACCCCTGTAAAAAAGGGTCATTCAACCCCCAAATGGGTCGCGACCCACAGGTTGAGAACCGCTGACCTGGAGGTTTATGTGGTGACAGATTGATGCATTATGGCATGCAGCATGATGACTTGGAAATTCCAGCGGAGGAAATTATGAGTCTATCCAGTTTTTTTTTGGAGGGGGTCTTTGGATAAGTATAAGTCTTCTTTATGGGCCATGATAGCTAATGCTAAAACAAGAAGTCATAGCTGCCCTATATTTAATAGAAACTCATGAAAGACAAAAACTTGGAGTCAAGTGTTGCTTATTAATTTTGTAAGCGATACTCCATTTGGCCTAAATTGAAATTTTTATCAATAGTGATTCCTCTCTCCTCTAGGCCAAACAAAACACCTGCAACCAGGCCCCCACTTAAATGTGAACTATGAGATGAATGAGAAGATATACTGAATCATAAGAGACAGGGATAATTCAAATTGGATGATCTTTGGTAAATTGGTAGAGCAATTACAGTATTTACTAGGGTTAGATTACAATCCTCGGAGGGCATCACTTCAAAGACAGCCTTCCCTTTGAATCCTACCCCCGATCTTCTCCCGTGGCAGGTAACCTCTCCACATAAAGATCTGGCAGTCACAGAAGGGATGGTTGCAGAAGCTGGCCACTTCTAGCAGACAATCATCCCTTTAACCATATTAACTATAATTTGGGCACCCCCCAAAAAAAATCACTGGCTGGCTCTATTGGACATAGTTGCCAAAATCTCCCTAATGCTAGGAATCACACTCATGCTATTAAGAGACCCCCCACAACCCTCTCCACCCAGGAGGTGATCAGGTTGGAAAGAGTAATTAAATTAATTAAAGGATTAATTACCCACTAAACTACTAAAGTTGTCTTAGTTCTGCAAAAATATGCTTCTGTCCTGTTTGTAACCATTCCTCAGCCCCACCAAGACCATCTCTTTTCCCATTACTGGCTTGGACTCCTACGGTCAGCAAGTACCTTATATAAGAACCTTAAGGCTTTTACACTATTGTCGGGCACCACACAGTGGAAACCAATTACCTTCTATTGTTGGTGCAGGTGGTAAATATAGCACAATACTGTCCAAGGCAAGATACTGAAGGATTATGGCCTACCAAAGATGATTTAGTGAAAGAAGGGTACTGATTCCTATTCTCTCACCTTTCAACTCCCTGGTATGGCCTAGGCTATAAAGTTACTACTAATAGGTGGAGATAAGCTAGAGAGAGTTGAAAAGGCCTGTTCCTTTTGTTAGAACACCACTACCAGATATCTTCACTTTAACATCCAAAGCAACATATATAAATATTTTGGAATTGCAGACTTGACTAACATGTTCTATTCAGTAAAAATTTTGCAGGACAGTCAACCACAATTTTTACCTTCGCCTTTGAGGGTCAAAGCATATCTTTTCTTGGTTGCCTATGGGATATGTAAATAACTCTGTGAGCATACATATGCTTTGAAGACAGGACCTAGATGACAGTTCTACATACCAATAGAAACTCACTTTTGCCATTGTATTGATGACATCTTCCTCAGTGTATCTGACCAGGACTCTCTTTCACAGGCCATCACAACCGGGAATAAACCCCTCATGGACAGGGGATGGGCAAATGCCATGCATAAGGTACAAGATTTCTTCCAATCTGTTAAATTTTCAGGCTACATTTGGAACTCAGAAGGGTGAACTGGTATCCCCAATCTGGTAAAAGACAAGCTCCTAGTACTTCAACCTCCCACATTAGTACCAAAGGTCCAACATTTGATAGGAACATTTGGATTCTGGCTCCAACACATTACTCACATACTATTGCATTTAACAGGTCAAAACCCTGAGAAATGCCTCTGACTCTTGCTCAGTGGGGACTGAATGTGGGGTGGTCAGTACTCACTGAACAATAAAAGTAATAGTTTTTCTTCATTAATGGAGTGAGCACAGACTATATGGGGGCCAGACAATTCAATTTGCCTTTATTAAAACCTTCAATTTCTACCCAAGTGCCCATCAGTAGATGAATGGATAAAAAAGCTGTGGGATATTTACAGAGTAGAATACTATGCAGCTGTAATAAAGAGGGCTCTCTTACTCTTTGGGACAGCATGGATGGACCTGGAAAATATTATGCTAAATTTGAAATAAGCCAATCTGAGAAAGAAAAATGTAACATGATCTCACTTATTTGTGGAAGCTAATGAACAGAATGAATTGACCAACAAAATAAGACTTGAAGCATGGAGGCATGGAACAGACTGACATACCTCAATGTGGGGTTGAGGGGATGAGAAGAGATAAACCAAAGAACTTATATACTTATAGTCATAGCCCATGGACATGGGCAATAGGGTAGTGAAGACATGGAGGTAGGAGCTGGGAGGAAGGGGGGAAATACTACCAACAATAAAAAGTATATTAAAAATACTTCCATTTCTATATAGGAATAGACTAAAATACCCAATGGGCTGACCTTCATGCAATACTCATAACAACAGAGCATGCCCTTGACAAACATTTTCCTAAGGTCCACATTTTCAATAATTCCTGGATTGTGGATAGTGGGCTATTTGGTCAGGACTTCAGCAAAATCAAGTCTAAAAAATATAAGAAATTTGTGGTAAAGAGATGAGGAGGGAAAATTACCACATTGGCTCCCACTCTGTGCATCCTGGTGCACCATACTTTGGCTCATGCCAAACAAGACATAGAGGAGGTACAATATAATGTCAATGCTGACTAAAAACCACCACATCAGGTAAACATCTCAAAGAACAAAGAGTCCGCAGAACTTAGGAATGAACCACTCTACCACTTTTATTGGTAAGCACATCATAGGTCAACGCATTTGGGTATTATTGGTTTTCAGAACTCGATTGCTATAGAAAAGTCAAACCAGCAGAGAGACATTTACACAAATCCAGTAGAGACTGTACCATATGGCAGAAATCAAGACGCTGGGACTACTGCATGAGAGGAGAAAGTTATAGAGAAGGACCACACCATATCACAAATGAAAAATAAATTTCATTGGGCCCCTCCCTGCAGTAGACAGGTACATTAAATATGCCTTAACAATAGTAGATACCTACAGAAGCCTTCTGTTGGGTTATCTATGCAAGGGTTACATGATGATGTTATTGAGTGGCTTATAAACAGCTTTTACAGACTTTGGAAATTCTATAATTACATAGTCAGATCAATGTGCACATTTCATCACAAAGCAAATATTGCCAGGACTGACCAGCAGACCCTGAGCGATGGATGAAAAGATTACTCTCACATAGTTTCTGTGAAAGAGAAGGCTAAGGGTCTGTTGGCTTTTGGAAGGAAAACAGACTCGATTGCCTGCCTTGTTAGGCTTTTATCATAACAACAGCTTGAACTAAAATTAACCTCTAGATATAATCAGCAGGGTAAGTATCCTTGAGAAAGCACATGCTTCTACAAGGTCAGGTCTTTAAAAACTAAACATAGAGATTCTAGCAGAACACCCAGGGGACTGGACTTGTTTGGAAAAGTCAAGGCAGGGAATGCTGCCTTTGGCAAGGTCCCCTCAGAGGCCCCTGACCTTTCGGAGAATCCTCCTTACAGCCTTTCCAACCAATTCCCATGCTTCCCCACATCTCCCCCAC